TCTGTCTGTCTGTCTGTCTGTCTGTCTGTCTGTCTGTCTGTCTGTCTGTCTGTCTGTCCGTGTGTCTGTCTGTCTATCTATCTATCTATCTATCTATCTCTCTCTCTCTATGTCTCTATCGATCTATCGATCTATCGATCTATCTATCTGCACCGGCAAGCCGGAAAAACGTTCGGTGCGTGTGGACGCCGCCAACCTTGCAGGCATCCCCACCGAAACTCAATCCAAATTCATGGACTTGAACTCATGTCACTTTCGGTTCTCTATGGACTTCGCGACGGGTTGTCCTGGGAACTCGTATCCTGCGGTCTGCTCTGTACGTGGGCCCGCCTGTCTCCACTCGACTGCTCAATGCCCATTGTCCAAATAGCCTCCAAAGCCCTTCATGATGCTAATGATGCACTACTTGGCGTCCATTGCATCACTCGCATCACCAGACCCAATTTGCACTGCTTTTCTGACCCTCGCTTTGGAGCGCTCTCCCTCTCAAAAGGTCCCTCTCAACGACGGTACACGGCTCATTTTGGAACCTAGAAACGGCTCATTTTGGAACCTGGCTCATTTTGGAACCCAGACGAAAAGAAAACTCACCGGGACTGCAGCGTGAGACCAATTTCGCGGCTCATTTTGGAACCTGCATCATTCGGTAGTGCTTCGAAGGTAGTATTTGCTAGTGAAAATGAGTGTTTCGTACGAGACTTCCTCCAAAAGTGAGCCGCGGAAGTCTCCAGAACGAGCGTTTTGTACGAGACTTCCTTAAAAAGTGAGCCGCGGAAGTCTCCAGAACGAGCGCTTTGTACGAGACTTCCTTAAAAAGTGAGCCGCGGAAGTCTCCAGAACGAGCGTCTTGTGCGAGACTTCCTTAAAAAGTGAGCCACGGAAGTCTCCAGAACGAGCGTTTTGTACGAGACTTCCTTCAAAAGTGAGCAGCGGAAGTCTCCAGAACGAGCGTTTTGTACGAGACTTCCTTAAAAAGCGAGCGTTTTGCACGAGACTTCCTTAAAAAGTGAGCCGCGGAAGTCTCCAGAACGAGCGTTTTGTACGAGACTTCCTTAAAAAGTGAACCACGGAAGTCTCCAGAACGAGCGTTTTGTACGAGACTTCCTTCAAAAGTGAGCCGCGGAAGTCTCCAGAACGAGCGTTTTGTACGAGACTTCCTTCAAAAGTGAGCCGCGCAAGTCTAGAGAGAGAGAGACAGAGAGAGAGAGAGAGAGAGAAAACGGGCTTCGGCTTCTTTGGGGTCTCTTTTGGTTTTGCTTCGGGCTTCGGCTTTACGTTTTCTTTAGTCTTAGCTTCGGGCTTCACTTCTTCAGGATGTCTTTGGGTTTGACTCAGGGCTTCACTTCTCGAGGATCTGTTTTTGTTTTGCTTAGGGTTTCGCTCCTTTAGGTTTTCTTTTGCTTCTTTAGGATGTTTTTGTGCTGGAATTAGGCCTTCACGTGAGGGCTCCTTTAGGATGTCTTGGGTTTCACTTAGGGATTCACTTCTTTAGGGTCTCTGGTTGGTTGGGCTTAGGGCTTTGCTGCTTTAGGATGTCTTTCGTTTTCACTTAGGGCTTCACTTCTTTAGGATGTCTTTGGGTTTGACTCAGGGATTCACTTCTTTAGGGCCTGGTTTGGTTTTGCTTAGGGCTTCCCTCCATTAGGATGTCTTGGGTTTCAAATAGGGCTTCGCTTCTTTAGGGTTGCTGGCTGGTTTGCCATAGGACTTTGCTGTTTTAGGATGTCTTTGGTTGTGACTTAGAGCTTTACTTCTTGAGGGTCTCTTTTGGCCTGCCTTATCGCTTCACTTCTTTAGGATGTCTTTGCCCCAAATTCAACAGCATCTCTTGCTCAACATTTTGTGTTTTGTGCACATGGTCGTGATAATGATGTGCTTTGGCGAAGCTGGGTTTGGTTTTGCTCAGGGCTTTGCTCTTTTAGGGTTTCGTTTGGTTTGCCTTAGGGGCTTGCTTCTTTAAGATGTTTTTGGGGTGGCATTAGGGCTTCAGTGGAGAGGGGCTTAGGGCTTCACTTCTTTAGTCTTTTGTCTTTTGCTTCAGGCTTCACTCCTTTAGGGTTTCATGTGGTTGGGCTTCCGGCTTTGCGTCTCTAGGATGTCTTTGGGTCGAATGAGCCTTTACTTCTTTGGGGTCTCTTTTGGTTTTGCTTCGGGCCTCGCTCCTTTAGGGTTTCTTTGGTCTTAGCTTAGGGCTTCACTTCTTGAGGATGTCTTTGGATTTGACTCAGGGCTTCACTTCTTGAGGATCTGTTTTTTTGCTTAGGGTTTCGATCCTTTAGGTTTTCTTTTGCTTCTTTAGGATGTCTTTGGTTTGGGTTTAGGCCTTCACGTGAGGGCTCCTTTGGGATGTCTTGGGTTTCACTTAGGGCTTCACTTCTTCAGGGGGGTTGGTTTGCCTTAGGGCTTTGCTCTTTAGGATGTCTTTCGTTTTCACTTAGGGCTTCACTTCTTTAGGATGTCTGTGGGTTTGAATCAAGGCTTCACTTCTTTAGGGTTTGGTTTGGTTTTGCTTAGGGTTTCGCTCCTGCAGGGCCACTGTTTCTTTTGGCCTGGCGTAGGGCCTTGCCTCTTTAGGATGTCTGTGGGTTAGACTTCGGCCTTCACCACCACCCCCCTCAAAACAAGAACGCTTCTCAGAAACCAGTCCCCAGAAACCACTTCCCAGAAACCACGTCCCACAAATCACTTCTCAAAAAACCACTGCCCAGAAACCACTTCCCAGAAACCACTTCCCAGAAACCACACCACTTCCCAGAAACCACACCACTTCCCAGCAAAAACTTCCCAGAAACCACCCCCCCGAAACCACTCCCCAGAAACCACTTCCCAGAAGCCACTTCCCGGAAACCACTTCCCGGAAACCACTTCCCGGAAACCACT